GGCCTGCGGCGGCAGCTGCGCCAGGGACCCGCTCAGCAGCTGCCCCGTCATCAGGGGGTTGTTGGGGTCGAAGATCATGTAGGGCATGTCCAGGGGCCTCTCCAGGAAGGGAGAGTGCAGGAACTGGTTCTGAGCAGCGAGGAAATGCATGTGCTGGTGCTCCTGCCAGAGCTCGGGGCTCGGGAAGGCCACGGTACACTGATCACATTGGTATTGGAGTAGCTGTGGAGGTAGACTGTTCTGGAGAGGAGGCATGGAGATCTGCAGGGGGCTGGACGGGACGGGCGTCTGGGAGGCCGAGGGCGGTCTCCCAAGCAGCGGGGGCTGTTTGAGGGGCTGGGGCTGCGCGGCCGAGGCCTGCGGGGGGTCCGAGGAGGAGCTGGGTGCTGAGGGCGCGGCTGGCTTGCTGCCCAGAGAAGGGGGCGAGGGGTCGCTCTGCTTTGGCTTTTCCGTGGGATAGTCAGGTTTGGGAGACGTCTTCTCGGGCTCCGGTTTCGGGGACGGAATCAGAGGGGTGCTTGTCCCGGAGCCAGAGCCCGCGGCGGCGGCGCCCTTGGCGGCGTCCGCGGGGCCCGACGGCGCGCACTGCTTGTAGAGCGCCTGGTCGGTGGCGTCCAGGGAGTCCTCGGTTTGGCTCTCGTCCTGCGCGTCATCGTCCTCGTCCTTGTAGCACTGCTTCTTCTGGTGCGTGATCAGGTCGAAGATGCGGGGGAACACGACGGAGCACTTCTTGCACTGGTACTGCATGGTGCTGGTGCGGATGTACCGCTCGTTGGTCAGCTCCCGCTTCTCCGCGTCCTTGGCCTCCGCCTGGTTCTCGTAGCTCTTGCGCGCCTTCTGCCGCGCGTTCTGGAACCACACCACGATCACGCGCGTGGGCAGGTTGAGCACGGTGGACAGCTGCTCTATCTCGTCGTCTTTGGGGTACGCGTTGGTGTCGAAGAAGTCCTGCAGGACCCGCAGCTGGTAGTCGGTGAACCGCGTGCGGGACGACCTCTTGCTGAAGGACGCGTCGGCTTTGTAGTGCTCCAGCGGGGAGGGCTGCGGGTCGAGGCGCAGGTCTTCCAGCACCGTGATGGGCGGGTTGCTGAAGTTGTAGGGCGAGTCCTTGTTTCTCTGCCGCTCCTTGAAAAGCGTGTTGCGGAACCAGTGCTTGATGACCTTCTGCGACAGCCCCGACTTCTCCGCCATCTCCTGGATCTGCTCCTCGCCGGGGGAGTTGTTGATGTCGAAGTAAGCCCGCAGGATCTTCAGCTGGTCGTCCGTGATCCTGGTCCGGGGGCGCTTGAACTGAGAGTGCCTCAGGAAGGCGGGGTCCAGGCCCAGCTGCTGCTGGCACAGCTGCGTCAGGTCGGCGGACAGCGCGTCCATCTGCGGCAGCTGCAGGGCCAGCTGGGGGGGCAGCGCCGGGTGCTGCACCGGCTGCATCATGATGGACGNCGAGGGCGGGGAAATGGGGTAAAGCTTGTCGTAGGCCTCGCGGTACTGGCGCGCGAACCTCTCCAGAGCCCGGGAGGGGAAGAACTGCCCGTGCACGTGCTCCTGGTGGCTCTTCAGAATGAGCACGTTGGAGAAGAGCTTCCCGCACGTGCCGCACTCCAGCTTCTCCGCGCTCTCCCCGTCCCCGCCCCGGCCTTTCTTCTGCACCTTCTGCCGGTTTTCGTTGTACTGAATGACCAGCTCGAACCCGAAGTTCTCCAGCAGCGCTTTGGCCGCGTTGCCCCTGGCCCCGGAGGCTATTCGGGGCGGCGGGACGGACGGCTCGCAGGGCTTGGGCTTCTTGGAGTCTCTGCCTTCTTTGAGGCCTTGGGCGTCGCCTGTACATTCTTGCTTTGGTTTCTCTTGCTTTTCCGCGCTCTCCTCGGCCTCCCTGGAAGCCGGCGCGTCNCCTCGGCCTTAAAGGGGGGCGGGCTCAGCAGGTTCTTGGGGGACAGCTCCGCCGACTTGCTCACGGGCGTGGACACCGTCGAAGCCAGTTCGTTCTCGCTCGAGAGGTCGATCTTTGTCAACGGCAACGACGGGTAATCGAAGTAGATGTACTTCTGCGGGCTGTCGCCGCCGTCCTCCGCGGCGAGCAGGGGGCTGGGGGGCAGGCTGTACCCCGCCTGCTTGCCCTCGCTCCAGTGGCGCGCGCGCACGTGGCTCTCCAGCGCCGACTTGGCCTTGAAGAGCGCGCGGCAGAAGGGGCAGCGCTTGTGGGACTGCGCGGGGCCCACGGCCCGGAACTGGCCCTTCCGCTCCCGGGCGCGCGTGTTCTGGAACCAGACCTGCACCACCCTCTTCTTCAGCCCCACTTCGCGCGCGATGTGGTCGAGCATCTTGCGGGTGGGGTTGGAGTCCAGCAGGTACTTCTCATAGAGGACCTCCAGCTGCTCGGGCGTGATGGTGGTCCGCAGGCGCTTGTCGCGGTGCTGGTCCTCGCCGTGGCCGCCCTCCTTCTCGCCGCAGGCCGGGTCCTCTTTGTCGTCCAGT